GAGCAGTTCACGCCGCGCGTCGTGCGCAATCTGTTGCTCCGACAGCCGCTGGCCGGGGCCGGCATACTCGGCAACTTTAGCACCCTGGAAATCACCTGCGACTGCTATTCGAAGAGCGAGAGCGACTCCCGGTACGTGAGCCCCACCGACCTGAGCTCATGGCATGTACTGCCCTTGGAGCGACCCCCTGTGCACATATCCGAGAACGGTACTGTACACACACACACACAGAGTCATACAGCACCTTTGCTGGCTCACACGGCACCAGAATCACCACCTCGCGCTGCAGAAAACTGCCTTGGCTTCGAAGTCCTTGTATCCGTGAGAGGTGCCGGCATGGTACGCCTCGGAAGGATCTTCAATGCCGCAAGATACACGCATGTCGCTTCGAAAATCCAGGCGTCCTACATGCAAGCGGTTCATCTGTGCTGCTCGTCCAGCCTCTCGTCTGCAGTCACTCCCTCTTCCAAGTGCAAAAGCATGTTGCGAAGGCTCACGACCCAAACGCAAAAGGGCATGTGCCTCACCAATCTTATCCAGCATGGTCGACGCAGAATGCCTTCGAATGTGAGAAGATGCATACGACAATACGCTGGCTGCTAGCAGGCTCGCACAACATAATCTTGGTCGCGGAAAAGACTTGGGCCAATACCTGCTACCCTGGCAACCAGGCGAAGGCTGCAACAGACCCTCAGCAGTCATCAATCAAGGGACCCCGACAGGCTGCAACTGCAAAGTCAGGCAACACCGGGATTTCGTTAATAAATAGCAAAGTCAAACAACCAAGGCCTGCAGATGCCGGTAGCGAACCTGCGACGCAGGGCCCCGAATGTTTAAGCGGATGTCAGCGTCTCAAACATATCCGCCGAGACCACAAGCCTCAGGCGTCTTGGGGGTTAGCTCAGTACCCTCTACCTAATCCTCCTGCCTGCCGAAATTCGAATGCTTTTTGCCCGAAAATTCGACACCCCGCCCCAGCACCCCCGAACGCGTCTCAGCCCCCACCCCAGGTGTCTCCCTCCCCCTTCCCCCTGAACTTTCTCCTCCCTTGCATGCGACTGCTGGTAATCAGCGTAGCTGAGCATTACCGGGTTCTGTCACAGTGCTGCTCTCCGGCAAGCCGAGGCGGGCGGCGTAGCGTTAAATTACTCATGAAAGCACGCTGAGCCGGAAGATCAACATCCTTTCACGGGAAAGGCTTTTGGCTGGCTCCGGCTTCTCGCGTAAACTTGCTTGCACAGATCACCGCCTCCATCAGTTCCTGGCTTCTGAGTGAACTCTGCAGCTCCTCAACCTGCACTTGCAGTCACAACAGAACATGACGACCATCGCAAGTGAATTGAATCATCTGAAGTGCCACAGCGACGAGATGCCAACATTGGAGAACGAGGATTTCGCTTGGCAGCCCCGATGCACGCCACATCAGGAGCAAGCCGGGGTAAACCAAAGCTGGCAGCTTAGCAGAATAAGCCTCATGCCAACGCTAATGCTAATGCTGGAGATGGTGACGACAAAGCGAAATCGAGGACTATGAGGAAGAGGAGGAGGGGGAGGAGGAGGAGGAGGACTGCGACTGCAACACAATTATTGGTGCTTGGGCAACGTATGGCGACATGCAGTGCACGGTGTCTATGACTGATTCGCACATGCGTCTGAAGGTATGGAGAAGATTGGAGAAGCGGTTCAAGCAATTTGTGTGCATGGGCTTGGATACTGAGGTACAGCCGATCTTGCACGGCAGCAGCCGACAACCTGCAACAACCGACATGCCCGACCACTGCCCTGCACCTAGGTCGGCAAACTAAACACAAATTCAACATCCAAGATTTGCTCGGGAAAATGCCCTTAGGCGATGGTTAGAAAAATCGGTGCGGGCATGTTTGTATCATAAATATACGCTTCTGCCTGTTTCCTGGAGAATCCTGGAGGTGAGAGTGCACCCTTCCACCTGCGAATTCGTGATACATGGTGCTGCGTCAGCACGACCTTGAGCTGTATAGGAAACGTAGCGCAAGTCAGGCTCGATGAACGGCAAGGAAGCGCAGCAACAATTTCCTTCCTCCCTCATCCTGCCACGCCGGACGTGTTTCGGGAAGCAGCACGGCACTATGCAGGAAAGATACCGGCAACAGAAATATTAATAGAGGTGCAACATGCAACCAGCCTCCTCTTGTAGCAGCTGCAAGGCTTGGTCCTTGCCAGCGGGAAACACAGTAGAGCAAAGGGCTGAACAACACCTGTTCTCATGCTTCTGCCTACGCTGATTCGCATTGCCATCATGCGATGTGCTGCCTTTAAGCTTTGCAAGCTACTGCCGGTCCCACAAGTATTGATCGATACAACCGCCAGAACCACAGGAAATAACTTCAAGATCTTTAAAGAGCTTGTCCTTCAGCAGTAAGAGTTTCTGCAGCTCATCCACAGACAGCACCTGGTGAACAAGAATGAAACATGATGGAACACAGATTGCGACCAGCAGCCTTCGACAAAAGCAAAGCCCATGCCGCCATGTCATGGTTCGTGGGAGCACAATGTGAAGGAGAGCCTCCAGCTCCGGATTTGCAGCCTGCACTATTCTTTCCAGTTGCAGAACCATGCTCAGCTTCATGTTCTACATCAGCGCCCTGCTTCACGGACACTGAGGACACCAGAAACATGCACTGCTGAGGAACCGCCTTCCAAGCTCTGTGAGCTTTGGATGAGATCCCGGATTTGGGAGAGCCGAGTGAACGCCTTGAAAGGAGAAATCTTGTACTCTCTCATGGCAGTAGCAACTTCGCTGTCTTAGACTTCGCATCGCCGTGATCCACAAGTGCCAATAAGTAGTAAGTCTGGGGCTGCGAAGGGCTTCTTCCGCTTGTTCCACTTCTCTGGCTTTTCGGAGAACCCAGCAAATACTCGCCTCGATGCATGTGATGCTAATCGCTAACACCTCTGCCGATACCCCTGGCCCTAGCACATCAAAGTACAGCTTGCAAAGCAAGGAGAGTTACTTCGTTCAGTAGGCTGATTCGTCTGTGCCATTGAGTTGCTGGGCAGCGGCTCTCTGTCCAGTTCGGGTGACATCGCTCGGCACGCGACTCGTATCTCTCACATCCCACATTCGAGCATGGTAGGGTGTGGCACTCGATCGCTCATAGCGTCAGAATCACATCGGTTAAGAACATGTTCTACAGAATAAGACTGTCAGAAGGTCGTGATCGTCAATGCTCACCTGCGACCCACTCAGTAACCAGCAAAGCTACAGATGTATATTGGCGATAGCGGCCCAATTTTGTAAATCACAGATCATGCAGTGCCTGCAGCCGATTCACTTTGCTGCAGGGAACGCGACACAAGCATCTTGCGCGCATTCGGTTCAGTGCCCTCAGCGTCCGATTTAGATCAAACATCAAACAGCCTTTGCCACTTAATCTCTTCGGAAACGAGGTTGGGGCACCACCATGCACCCAGTCTTGAAGTGAGCGTGCGCCCTTGATGTCGGAATTTTTGAATGCAAGCTAGCATCTACGCAGAACGGCTGCACGAGCAGCCCGGAGCTCACAAAATGAGAAAACTCCATCGTACCACCCGCGCCTTCACTACTCTTCGTCAACTCGACCTGAACCCTAACGACAGGAAGTTCCCTTAGGGGTAGGCCGCGCTTTTTTTGCTGCACGGCCGCATCCGACGATGCCGCAATGTCCGTCTCATTCCAGGCATTTTAACACTATCCTTGAGACGTATCAGCTGACTGGGACTGTGAAACCATCCGGACTTCTGCAACAATGTCCTTCGATCAATTCGCACTCTGTGCCGCCCGATGAGCGGAAAGCAGGGATGCCGTCCACTGCCAGGTTTTCTGCGATGAAATGCGATGAAACTATCATGCGGCCTCGACCATGTGACGTGCATAACGGCCATCAAAGAGTCGCTGACTGCTCCTCCAGCCACCTCATCTTGCCTGGGTCGCAGAATGTCGCAGATTCATGGGAACCTCTAATCTATTTTCGCACATGTCTATACCGAAGCCATGTGCAGGCATCGGCTAATGTTGCAGTTCGAGCCTGTCTAAATGTCATCTGCTACTTCCCCTGGAAAGAAAACATGCCAGTTGACCGGCTAGCTGCTTTCCAAATCTGAGATGGAGTCCTTTATGAGGCGAAGCATCTTCAGCTGCTGCATCTGGGATACGGGTACATCTCGTAATAAGATGTCCATAAGACCTTCAACAAATTCTTCGCGGGTCACGACTCCAGATTTGTCAACGTCCTGTGTTGCGTGAAAGGAGTCCTACTACAACCGAAATCGAGTTCTGGCGGGATGCTGTAACACACGTGCCTTGGGATCTTCTTGGTTGTGGATTGGCTGTTCGAGAGGGTTCCAGGAACCGAAGCTTCTGGGGCATCCGTTTTGCGCCATATGGCACAACGTGAGTTGAAATCCGAAGGCACATAAAGGTTCGGTTGCCATCATCGCTATTACTCATTACACAAGGACAGCATCGTCCTAGGTCCTAGAATCTCCGAGAAGCCGGAAGTACAGTGGATGAGTGCTCAACTCAACACCCACACACGGATGATGCAGGCATGAAGGTCTACTTTGAAACCTCTCTGATAAGCTGACTGCGTCCCAGCATCCAAAACGTTGAAAAGCTCAGTCATGCTGCCCACAGATGCTTGGTCCAAAAGCTGGTCCGGAATTTGACCGCTGCGTTCGAACTCACGCATCTCCTCTCACATTTCGAGGCATGTGGGGGCCACGAAAAATTATTTGCAGACAATTACCTTCCAGGAGTGACGACCTTTCCTCGATGGCTATCTCGCCACTCCCATCTGCATCTGCTAGATCAAACAGCTTCAGAATCTCGGGCAGCATGGTTTTCGTGTTGGCACTCCTGTACCGCGACACTGGAGAAACTGATAGAAACTGGCAGGCACATGTCGAAAAAGCTGCGACGAGGCAAAATTTCGCAAAGCAAAAGCCACAAGACATCCGTGCCTGATCCTGTCGTCCTCTTTTCGCATTGCCCTCGCATGTTCCATGGATCCCTCGACGAGGGCTGCAGTCACGAGATTCATCACCTCACGGGCAGGCATGCCAAAATCTAACAGCCGAGGAACAACGTGAGCTCAACGTTTGAACGACATGAATCAGCAGATTAAGGCACTCGAAAATATTGCACGCTAGCATCTCATGACAACAACAAGCACACGTTCGTGCGTGTAGCAGATTTTCTGTTCCAGCATTCGCTGACATCCCTCGCGAATGTTGTGGCTTCTGAAACTTTTGAACGATTGGATTCTCGCCGCTTCGGTATTCCAGGGGGCCACAAACATTAGCGAAGTGCGGCAATGTGTGTTCCACCGACATCGCAGGACCCAAAGAAGGGTCGGAGAGGCAGTGGTGTCTTTGGCGTGGTCGGGTGATACGCAAGAAAAGATGTGGAAACAACTGAACTTAAGTGGAAATGCTTGTTGTAGGAAACCCGGACGAGTCTCAGTCTATAGGTAGGGTGTGGAACTGGGGAACCCTGCAACTCCGAAGAAAAAGTCGTGGCTAAAGGCGAACCAGCGAACCCTACACAACAAACGTGGCTGGACATACTACTCCCCGAAGCAAAACGAACCTTGGCTGTCAAACCTCAGCACTCCTGTTCCGGTGAAAACCTGATACACTAAAATGATGCATTGGTTGGCGAACCTTAAAGCCCATTAGGCGTGAGCGTTGATTGGGAGCGGCCGAGCCCAGAAAGTGCGGTTAAACACACGTACTGCATGGGGCACTCTGAAACTCGAGACGACATGTTGGAGCGCGAACTTGCAATGAAATAATTCAATACTACATGCTGGGAGGGACACGTTGGAGCGTGGCGAACCCTGAAGCCGAAACAAGAAGCTGCATGGAAGCCTGAAAACTATCCTACATGAGGGCACTGGGACACTTGTCAAAAACTCTACCGAGCCAAGGCATACGGTTGGCGCGAAACCGTACGAAGTCTTAAAACAACGCCTACACAACAAAGGTGGTTGGGAAATCTCAAAGACCCAAAGGCTCGGAGCACATGTGTTGGCCAGTGAATCGTAAATACTGCGTTAAGGTGTTGGCACAAGGGACAAGGATGTTGGGTGGGAAGCACCAAACAAAACCAAACTAGAAGACGAGTGGCCCGAAAGCATCATTAGCCATGAGTTTTGGAGGGATGTAATTGGAGCTATGTAACGTCAC